CAATCCAATACTTATCTGAGACTGGTGCGTGTAGAGATAAGCGCGAGTGATGATTGTGATAGTATAGAGAAGCTTAATCTTTTACCCGTCCTGCCTTTCATATCTACAAATATCTCACAACTTTAGTCCGTGAGTGGTGATGATGATGAGTGAGTGAGTGAGTGTGCGAAGGCAGAAGAGGAGAGGGGGTGGGGTGAGTGTTCCTGCGCGGGGTGTGCAGAGAAAACAAGAACCCCACTTTGGATGTGGGGAAAAATCCTTCGAAAACCATAGGACAATCAATGATTTGGGCCCTTTCGGGCCTTCCTGGAGGCCCTCTTGGAGGCCTCTTGGGCCGTCTTGGACCAGCTGCGAGCCACCTTCGGCCATCTTGGTGGGCTCCTGGCACGTCTGACGCCGTCGGAAGCCGTTTCGGGGGCCTTTCTGGGCCGACTTGGGGTGCTCCAGGACCGTCTTGGAGGCCATCTTGGGCGTCTTCGAGGCCTCCAAGAAACCACACACTTTGGATGCGCGGGGAATAAATCTTCGGAAAACCATGGACAATCGAAATGATTATTGGGCTCTTCGGGCCTTCCTGGAGGCCCTCTTGGAGGCCTCTTGGGCCGTCTTGGACCAGCTGCGAGCCACCTTCGGCCATCTTGGTGGGCTCCTGGCACGTCTGACGCCGTCGGAAGCCGTTTCGGGGGCCTTTCTGGGCCGACTTGGGGTGCTCCAGGACCGTCTTGGAGGCCATCTTGGGCGTCTTCGAGGCCTCTTGGGCCGTCTTGGCGCCCTCTTGGGGCCGTCTTGGGGGCCTCTTGGGCCGTCATGGGGCCATCTTGGAGGCCTGTTGGGCGATCTTGGGGCCTTGGCGGCCTCTGGGGCCGTCACGGGCTGTCGGAAAGCCGACAAGACGCAAATGCCCAAATCCTTCAAAAACCTATGGAAAATCAATGATTTTGGCCTCGTCGGGCCTTCCTGGAGGAACTCTTGGAGGCCTCTTGGGCCGTCTTGGAGGCCTCTTGCCGGCCTTTTGGGCCGTCTTAAACCATATTGGGGCCATCTTGGGCCGTCTTGGATGCATCTTGGGGTCATCTTAGCCGTCTTGGAGGCCATCTTGGCTGTCTTGGAGGCATCTTGCAGGTCATTTTGGGCCATCTTCGCGATTTGTTGAGGATGTCCCGAGCGGAACGGCCGTTTTTGGCGATGGCAACCACCTCTTCCGGGTGGCCGGCGGGACGCGCCGGAGCCCCAGGGGGAGTTCTTTTGGAAAAAGAACCAAAACCAAAATCGAGAGGGTCTAGCACGCTAGGCACCCCTTTGATAAATCAAAAGGAGGCGGCGGATCCAGCTGGGCCTCTTGGGGCGGAAGGCTCGGATTTTTGGTTCGTGCTCCTTCTCTTAGGCTTCTTTGAGGCCGTCTTGGGGCCTTCTTGGGCCGTCTTGGGCGCCTCTTGGGCTGTCTTGGGGCCCTCTTCGGCTGTCTTGGGGCCCTCTTGGAGGCCTCTTGGGCCGTTTTGGGGTGGTCTTGGGTGCCTTTTGGGCCATTGTGAATCGTGAGAAAGTCGAAAGGCGAGAGCGCCCACATCCTTCAGAAACCGTAAGAATATCCATGACTTTTTGCGTCTTGGGGCCCTCTTGGGAGGCCTCTTGGAGGCCTTTTGGGGCGTCTTGGATGCCTCTTGGGCCATCTTGAGCCATCTTGAGCGTCTTCGAGCGATCGTGCGGCGACTCGGTACCTTCTTGGACCGTCTTGGGAGCCTCCTGCGTCTTTTCGGAATCCGTGGAGGGCCTCAGGGAGGCGCCATTGCCGCCCGTGCCCCCTCCTGGAGCAGGGGTGGTGCAAACGCCTGTGTGCCACACACATATATATATATATATATATATATATCTCTCTCTCTCTCTCTCTCTCTCTTGAATGCATTGACAGTCGCCGTGCTAGTGGAGGGGGTGGGCCCTCTTGGAGGTTTCTTGAAGCCGTTTTCAGGCCGTCTTGGGGGCCTCCTGGGCCGTCTTGGGGCCCTCTGGGGCCGTCTTGGTCCCTCAGAGCGCTCTTGGTGGCCTCTTGGGGCTGTGCTGGGGCGGTCTGGGGGCCCAGTTGGGCTGTCTCATGGCTCTCTGGGGCCGCCTAGAGCCCCTCTGGGGGTTCTCTTGGAGCGTCTTGGGACCGTCTGGGCCGTCCTGGGCTCGTCGTGCGGCCCTTTTGGGCCATGTTGGATGTTGGGGCGATCTGTGTAGCTTCTTCGGCCGTCCTATCCATCAGTGTGTGTCTGTTATGTGTGTATATATATATATAGATATAGCAGTACGTGTGTCTACATGTGTGTCTGGATATACAGACATAAATACATCTATTCAATTCTACACATTTGTATATACATATATACACACACCTATGTATATAAATTTGCAGATGTATAGGGCTATATGTATGCAGCATATATATATATATTGTAGCGGTCTCCGGCCAGTGCCGCCGATCCGGAACGCCTCCGGTGCTGCCGGAAGCGCACGATGGCAGTCATGACCGGCGACGATGGCGAGCGGTGAGGATGATGATGAGGATTGGGAATGGAGGCGACGGAATAGGATGATGATGATGATGATGATGAGGAGGAGGAGGAGGAGGAGGAGGAGGAGGAGGAGGAGGAGGAGGAGGAAGAGGAGGTGGAGGCGGGTGGAAGGGGGGAGGGGCAGGCGTAGGAGGAGCAGGAGGAAACGGGAAGTGGAAGAGGGGGAGGTGAAGAAGGAGGAGCATGACGAGGATGAGGAGATGTTTGGCAGTCGTTGGAGATGTTCGGCGGTTGTTGGAAAGCCTCTTTGGGGCCAGGTGTTAGCCCTCTTTGGGTTGACACCTCGCCGATTTGGCGCACTGTCTGAAAAGCTTTGTGCTCGAGCTGTCTGCGTCGCAGTTCTTTGTGGAGCTTTGCGCATCACCGGCCTCTGCTGGGAACCATGGTGTTTTGGCGGTTTCTGGGGCCTTCGCGAGGTCCTTTGTGGGCCCTCGTGGGATCATGGATGTTGAGGACACCGAAGACGGGAGAGTATGTGAAAGCGTGGAAAAACCTGTTGTATTGCAGCGCTTGTGTTCAGACGTAAGTGTCGTGGAAGAAGCATCGGGGCCGGTTTTGGGCTTCACGGGGGGAGTCTTGGAGACAGCTTGGAGGCCTCTAGAAGGCGTTTCGGGTGCATTTTTCAGATTATTGGGGGCCTTTTGGGGGCTTGGGGGCCTCTTGGGGGCCAGTTGGAGGCGTTCTGGGGCGTCTTCAGGCCTCTTGGGAACCTCTGGTGGCCTGCTGGGGGCTTCTTGGACCGTCTTCGGCACTTCTTCCGCTGTTTGGCGCCCTCTCAGGCGCCTCTTGGGCCCGTCCTGGGGCCTTCTTGGGCCTTTCCGGGGGCCTCCTGGGCCATCTTGGGCCCTTCCTGGGCTGTATTGTAGCCCTCTTGGCGGCTTCTCGGGCCGTTTTGGGGCTCTCTTGGGGCGTTTGCGACGCTCTGAAGGCCCGAGAGGCGACTACGCTGAAATTGCTTGTTTTCCCGAAGGAAAGGGACACGTGTTGCTTCTTCGGCCCTTCTTTGGGAGGCCTTTTTTTTCAGGGCTTTTGAGGGCATCTTGGAGGCTTCTGGAGCCGTTTGGGGGACAGCTTGGGCGTCTTGTTTCGATCGTTCGGCGACTCGGGGCCCTCTTGGCCCATGTTGGGGCCCTCCTGGCCGAGGGGTCCGTCCCGGAATGAGCTGGAGCTCCGATTCCGCCCCAGGAATTAAATCGACCCCCGGCAGAGCCACCCGGGCCCCCCCCCCCCCCAATAGAGCTGAAGCTCAAGAATTGAGGCTCAGGCTGTTCTGAGGGTCTTTGAAACTCACACGCCGGATCGGCGGATATCTACGTATATATGCACATACATACATACATATAAGGGGATACTAGACAAGCAATGCCGCTCATGCGATACCAAAGAGGTTTTCGCAAGTCACTCGAGGTACGACGCGGTGGCGTTTTGCACGTAACGGGGTCCTTTTGTCAAGTTTTTCCCTAATTCGTGCTTGCTCCAGGGAGTCGCTTAGATGACTTACTTACGGAATTGGACGGGTCCGCTGTGGTTTCGCCTTGTGTCCTGTTGGTGGCTCTAGTCGTGGACGCGCCTCGTGGGTGCCCCCCGTGCGCCGGGCGGGTCAGCAAGAGGTTTCGCCTGGTGCCCCGTTGGTGGTCGGGCGTGTGGCCTCGTGGGCGCCCCTTGCGTTCTCCTCCTCGTCCTTCTCCTCCTCCTCCTTCTCCTCCTTCTCCTCCTCCTCCTCCTCCTCCTCCTCCTCCTCCTCCTCCTCCTCCCCGTTCTCCTCCTCCTCCTCCTCCTCCTCCTCCTCCTCCTCCTCCTCCTCCTCCTCCTCCTCCTGGTGGTTCCCCAGGGTTTTCTGCTCGGCGCCCGGTTCGTGGCCCGGTGTGGGCCCCTCGTGAGCTGGGGGCGCAGTGCGCCTGGTGGGTCCGCGGGGGCTTTGCTCGGTGGCCCCTCGTGGGCGGCCCGTGCAACGGAGGCGTTCGCCGAGGTGTCGCCGAGTGCCCGAGTGATGTGGCACCCTCCACACACGGAGCGCGTGCGTGCGTGCTGCACAGACTCATAAGACATATAGGCACTTCGTGGTTGCAAGGAGCTGCGTGCGACAGTCGCCCTCGTAAGGAGTCAAGGCGCGAACCTTTTCACAACGTGACTCCAGTTATGAGTTGCCAAGGGAGCTGAAGGCATGTCAAAGGATAGCGAAGCCCAGAGGAGACCTCAGGACATCTTAGGGATACCAGGTGTTTGTTTGCAGGATACCCAGGGCTCTTCAAAACAACTTAAGGATTCCCATTGACTTGGTATGGAAGCCTCATGTATTGCCGACGCACTCTTCTGGAGTTCCTATTCTGGGGGCCTGAAAGACAGTTTGATGATTCCCTGACGAACCTCGAGGAACTTCACGAGTTTGTATGTTTGAAGAAACACCCAAGCCGCCGAGGCCTGCAACGAGTCTGGCTCGGGAGGAGGGTCCTCCTCCCGCTCATCATCGGGAGGATCCGTAGTTACCTTGGCTGAAAAATTGTATTTTAGGCTAGGTAGACTGTTGCACACTCTGTCACACACAACCATTGCCCTTCGAGTTGCTGATTCCGCGACCGCAGATCATACCATACACATCTAGGCCAAGGGGGCTGCGTGCACACAGCCCGTGAGGTGCACACAGCGCCACGTGACTCCATATCCTCTCCGGCAAACCATGCGGTGCTCGCCCGCGACAGGAGCCATCTGGTTGGCCCTCGGTAGGGGGGCCTCGGCGCTGGCCCTGGCTCCAGAGGCGGGTGCCAGCCCACAGCCAGTGTCCCAGCGAGAACACTCCCTCTCGGTGCTCAGGGACCTCGTCGCACCCTCCGCGGCGGCTCTGCTCCCCGGGCGGCACGCATTCGAGGCGCAGCTCGACCAGGACCTGAAGTCTTTGGCGGCTCCTGTGCCGCCGCCCGAGTTGCCGACTCAGCCAACACAGACCCAGCCACCGCAGCCGGGTGCCGGGGAAGAGCATCTGGTCGAATGGGGGGATTACGGGCCGGCTGATGATTTCTGCGCGGGCAGGCCGATCTATGACGGGCCCGCCAGGAGTTGGGACGACTGCCGCGACAAGTGCCGGACCCCATGCAAGTTCTGGAGCTACGAGCCGGGGTCCGTGCATCACCGGTGCAAGCTCACCATCAAGTGCGTGGATGTCGTCGCGGGGGCGTTCTCCGGGGTGGGTCAGGACGCCGCGGAGGAAGTGGAGGACCAGGCTGCTCTGGACAGAGTGCGGGCCTCGTCCACACCAGAGCCCAAGGAGGCGGTCGCGCCCGAGGCCAACGAGACGGAGGTGCAGCCCGCGCCAGAGGCTTCGCGTCATGCCTGCTCGCCGCAGGGCTCGGCCCGCAAGTTCACCAGTTCTGCAGAGAGCGGCGGCTGGTACGGCATCGGCATTGCCCACCACTACGCCGACTGCGCGAACGCCGCGGCGTCCATGGGCTACAGGAACATCGTCTGGAACATCGGCCCGAGGTTCCGCGGTCGTTGCTACGCCTTTGTCGAAGACGTGCCCGAGATCGCCGAGCGTAGCTGCGAGGACAACGACTGCTGGCTTTTCGGCGCGGCGTGCGGCGAGGCCACTGTCCACTGAGGATGCCTGCCTCCTCTCTTGAGCCCCTCCCTGTCCGCATCCTCGTCGTCGCTCCGCTGGGGCTCCTCTTTTTGTCGCCGCTGTCAGGCGTGAAAAGAGCCCCTGTGGGTTGAGAATACATCAGGCGTTCCGCCCTGTTAAGGCAGTCTCCGCTGGCAGCAAAGGAGCGACGTAGAAAGTCGGGATCGGCTATGCGGACGTTGGTGCCTAGCCGATGATCCTCAGGACGTTGTTCGCCCAATGTGTGCCCACCCCGTTCAGATCCGTCGATGGCCCGCAGCCCGTGTCGGCCCTGATGGGGCCGCCTGCGTCGTATTGATGGGTTTCGGTGGACACGAACCGCCAACGCACGTTCTGAGGATCACCGACGCAAGCTTCCCGCGCAAGGTCACGCGCAAGCGCCAGCTCCTCCGCGCGGCGTGCTGCGCTGGCGGCTCGCGTACGCCACTGCGTCAGGCCCCCCGCGCCCCCAGACGTCCGACGGGTCGGTCTTTTCGAGGCATGGCCCCCTGCAGACGTCTGGACTGTTCCTTGGGGCTGGGTACTTCGCCGGGGTCATTTTTTGACAGTCCCCGGGCCCCGAACTTGGCCGCCGAAGGCTCAGAATTGTGAAACATCTGACCGTCTCGATTTCTCCGAACCGTCGGATGTTTGGGTCGCCTCGCGCCAGACTCTTTTCCAGGGTCTATTTTCGAAACTATCGATCCGAATTGAGCTCGGTTTCGGCCGGGCCGTTCCGATTGCATTCCGATTTTCCGGCGATCCGAGGCGGCCCGATGCTTGCATTGCGTTGTTGTGCATGCTGGCGCAGCCGATCCGATCCGATTCGATTCTCACTTTCTCTGCCGCTGCGGCCCGATCCGTCGTACGTTCTGATTCGGCCTGGTTTCCCGGTTCGATGTCGACCGATCCTGCCTTTTTTCTCGTCGCGCAGCCACTGGCGACCACACTCGTACGCCCGCTGAGTCTCGGTTTCCTCGGCGGCCTGTACAGGTTGCCGTCTTTTGCCGCCGCCTGCCCGAGCCCTGTGGGCCGCCCCTCCGTCTTCCGGCGACAGGCTTAGACGTGGACTCTTCCCTTCTCCCTTCTGCTCCCTCCTCCGCTCCTCCACCGCCTTCCTCCTCCCTGTTCTTCTTCTTCTTCTTCTTCTTCCTTCGCCGCCTCCTCCTCCTCCTCCTCCTCCGCTCTCAACTCTCCTCCTCCTTCTCCTCCTCCTCTCTCAACTCTCCTCCTCCTCCTCCTCCTCCTCCTCCTCCTCCTCCTCCTCCTCCATTCTGTCTCCTTATCGATAACTTCTCCCCGTCGCACCCTGAGGCCAGTTTTTAGGGCGGGCTGGGCGTTTCGCCGGAGACTTCCGAACCATTGATGGTTCTGAAGCTTCAAAAGTGACAACGGTTTCACAGATGGTGGGCGGTTGGTTTTCAAAATGTGGCTCCCGCCTTAGCGCAGCGCACATTCGATTTCAAAATCTGCAAGAGCTTCACGGATTGAGGGCGGGTCGTTTTCAAAATGTGGTTCTCGCCTTGGCGCCGTGGACATTCGTTTAAGGAGGTTGCAAGATATTCGCGAATTACAGACGGGTGATTTCCAACATGTGGCTCTCGCTTTGGCGCCGCGCACATTCGTTTAAAGAAATTGCAAGAGTTTCACGGATTGAGGGCGGGTCGTTTTCAATATGTGGGTCTCGCCTTAGCGCCGCGCACAT